CCTATAACAGTCCATGCGGTAGATGCGATGGACCAACATGGAGACCAGATCAGGCCAAGAAATGCGTTACTCGGAATGCAAAGCCATGACAAATGCCACACAAGGGAGTGTGGTGGCACGCCTAGGTACAGACTTACGCCGCGCCAACCACCTGCGCCTGATCCAGCATTCGGTATTATTCAACCTATCTTGAAAACAGCCTCGGGGGGGTTATGGAGGAGGGAGTGAGGTAGACGCATTACAAGTCTACCACCACTGTTGCCTAATTGGCGCACAAGCCACCGTCCCTGCATCCACCCTGCAGTGGGACAGGAGGTGGACATCGTAAAAAACGACGGTAAAGCTTCGGTAGTGACGACGACGATGATGATGCAGAAAGTAATTATTCTGGGTGTAGTACCCTTTGAGGAAATATGAAAAAAAGCTTACTTACACAGGGCGTGTTCGCCATTCGATGTGGTGATCAAATACAGCTCAGACGGAATCAACTCGCGGTCTAGCACAACTCGCTCCCGTAGAAAGCGCATGATAGTGTCGGGACAGAGTTTGCTGTTAACACTAAATTCCACGCTGCCCGAATGGATGACTAGCTTCTCGGATGTGGATGAATGATTCGTGGACATGGGCCAGACATCTTCCAAATTGCCATTCCAGGTCACTTCCAAAGCCGTGCTGTAGAAAAAAAAAGAGGGGGGTGCGAGCGCGTTAGGTCCGTTGGCCTTTAGCAAATACAACCAGTTAAAATTTTAGCACGAGTCTTAAAGGCTCGAACCACTGCCCCAGACAAGTGGATCCGGTGAAGACTGCATTATCATCTTTTTTTAAGAGGCTGACTAAGGCCAGGTGAAACAAGCTGATGTTAACTTGATGCGCGCATAGACAGCAAATTAAGTAAACACACTCAACATAACAAGGGAGAGCGGGGACTGGGGGCCATCAACACCAGGGTTTGTCATGAAGCAGAAGAACCAAAAACAAAAAAAAAGCAAAACAAAAAGGGCAAAAAGTGGTTGGAAAACTTGCATATTTGGATGAATCGGAGGGTTCATTGAGGTGGTATCAGGAGCCGGAGCTTCCCTACCATATATATCTGTGAGGTGACGAAGAAATGACAAGGAGAGAAGGGCATCTGAACGAATAATTCGCAGTGACCGATGAATGACGCGCAATTTGCTGAACGCATCAGCCAAAACGGATCGCAGGTCGTCTAAAGGGGACAACAACAAAAAAAACAGGTTAAATAGAAGATGAGGATAGCAACGGCAAAGAATAAAATAGGCGCAGGTAAGACGAGGGAGGAGATGATGGCGAAAGGTGATCAAGAAGGCGAGAAAAATAGGAGTAATAAGAAAACAGTTCGGTGGCCGGAAAAGCACGTCTAACATTCCCAGCCGGTCTGACTGAGACTAGCCGCCGACAGAGGATGAAAGGGGTAAGGTGATGGACAAAGCGCGTAAGTAGGGCACTAAATCGCAGGTTTTCGGTCTAATAGAATGAGCTAACAATTGTGTGGGAACTAGGAGTCAGAGTGCAGTGTTGCCGCCTTGCCCTTGATGCCAGTTCCCGATCAAGTTATATC